TATGTGATTTGGAAATTGATGTTCATAGGTATAGCCCACTAAAATCAATTATTATTGAGACTTTATTTATTGCTTTAATATCTTCATTGTTTTTTCAAAACACAAATAGGCTATATTTTATGACATTGCCTTCAACCACTCAATAGTCAAATTTTTATTGATAACCTATGCAATAATTAGCCATTTCTGTGCAGAAGATGGGAATTATCAAGAAATTATCAAACCATCCAGACCCTTGTCCTCAATAAACTTACATTCAATGTGAACATCCTTGCAAAGGAGTTGACCTGGAGGACAGGACAAGTATAAAAATAACTTTGATTATGGAATTCCATTGGTATCCTCTACCCTTTCTATAAGACTCCTGCATAAAGAAGAGCAGACAGTAAATGTTGTGAAAGAAAGAATGTTTATGGGGATTCTGTACAAGTTTTTGTTTGTTTGTTTTTTGGCTGGTTGATTTAAAATAACATATCAAATTTGTGAATTTGTTAATTTTTGATGATTTAAATTATGAAATCAAGAAATTACTTCCATGTATTTAGTACTTCCTTTACATTTAATCAGGCCTGTCTTATTAATATGAATTTAAATTGTGTATTTCTGGAAGTTATCTAGTCACAAGTAAATGATCATCAGAGGTAATTGGCAGAATACAAAATTGGATTTCTTTCACAGGTTACAGTAGCTGGTAGTACATTTGCTTTAAGGCAAATTCTTAAAGCTTGGACTTAAATTGTTACAGAAATAGAACCTAGTTTTCAATACTATAATTGGTTTAATACATCATTAGCATTGAAAGTAAATAAAGATTGTCCTGGATATTTTCCCAATGTTGAATTAACTCTCATGATAATAGCAAGTTCCTCAGGCACTGTTGCATCAGTTAGAATTCACAAACTGAAGGTTAATCAAATAGAATAAGAAAGTTTGTTTAACAGCTAGAGGAACTGAAGTCACTTACTCAGGGATTGTTGATAATCAGACACTGCAAATAGGCTTTAAGTTACATATTAATATAAACTCTTTTCACGTAACCATCATAAACAAGCTAAGAAAAGATATTTCCCTCTTGTAATTTTAGGGAAAGTCAAGCTAATTTTATCCTGTGAAATCAGAAGTTTCCAATTTAAAATTCCTATGAATTCTGTCCATTTTCCCTCTGTTGCACATCTAAAATTTAATTACACTTAAAGAGTTAGTTACCAGTTTTTAAAGATTTAGGTTTTAACCTTTGCTCTAAACTGCTATTTGTTTAGTAATTTACATCATTTCTTTAGGTCCTAGTGCGGAGTTTCAAAATAAATCATTCTGATACCTTCTACAGAGAGTTACCATAGTTAATTCAGCTTTTTATGAGATATGTGCTTTTAAAAGAGAAGTAATAAAAAATATGAAATATTATTAAAATCTACTCATGATACATCTTTTACTCTTACCAAAATGTCCCTTATTTAGGGCTATGTTTCCTTTTTCTTTCATTCATTAACACTCTCTCTTTTCAAAATGCCTCCTTCAAGTTGCCACTACCAAAGACCCAACAATCAATCTAAAGTTAATTCCATCCCTCAAAGCCATGGTCATTTGTATAAACCACTTTATTCCATGAACCTTGTCCTAACCCTCCACAATTACTACCTCAGAACCTCCTTCTAATCACTGACAAGAACGAGAAATACATTTCTCAAATCATTCTGTTTCAGTTCACATTCAGTTATTCACCGTATTTGATTGATTACACCTCCTAAATATCGTTGGAATATGCATCTTTTCCTCACCACATTATTATGCCTCAGTTATTTTGCATTACCATCTGCCTTTTACCTTGAACACTTTTTCTCCCAGTTTCCATGTCTGCCATGCTAGCAGAGAAGTACTTTTGTAACAGAAATGTCATTGCATCACTTACTAGACTGAAACCCTCCATGTCTACAAAATGTTTTCTTTGGTATGCCCTACAAAGGGTTCCATAATCTAGATCTACCCTATGCTTCCCATTTTTTTTAATAGTTCCTCCCTTACCTACTACTTATGCACTCGTTGCATCAAACTAACATCAGTCTCTTCAGTTTATGTAGTAGTAGCATTACCTCCTCCAGCCCCACATGGTCATAGACATGCTGACAAACTTCAACTTATTTTCTAGAATTAAGTTGAAATATCAGCTATTTTATGAAACATTCCTTACCTCTCCCTGCCACCAACTCTTTTGTTTATATAAAATAATAGTAGAAAAATATTTTTTGAAGAAAGGGGTTCAGAAATGCAAAATGAAATTATTAAGAGAAACAGAAGCAAAGGAAGAGGCATGATAAAGTAACTATATTCTGTCTTAGAATCACAAGAGTTGTTACAGTCAATCCAGACCAAAGTTTTCTGTGGTTTCCTTATAAAAAGTAAAAGTTCTTGCCTCAAGATGATGTTTGGGGAATTTGTATCTAGTTGTGTAACACTAACTATAATTTGAGTGATCCTTATACAGCATTCAAGAAATCAGTCACTACAATGTTCAACCATGAAAATAGAATTATAAATTCTGAGCTTGATAGTCTCAATTTCTCACCTCTAAAACCAGCATTTAAGCTTTCTTGAAGAAATAGTTTTCTATTATTTTGTTTTCAAAATTCACTGCCTATATTAAGAAATGCACTGACAAAAACAAATATTCACTTTAAGATGTGACAACTGAGTCTTGTTTGCTTTTTCAAAATTCTGTTTATTCAAATACCTTCATCTAAAAGTTGAAAACATGAATAGAGCAAAAGAATTATTGTTCACAAGTTTGATTCACTGTATTTCATCAGTAAAAGTTTTAGAGAAGGAGGGAATTGAGTAAGGTACTTTGGCACATCTTAAAATTTCAGAGGAAATTGTTACCAATCATGAGACCCATACTGAGCTCTCTTCTGGAGAAATTTTCAAACATCCAAAGCCCATTTTTAAAAATGAAATTTATCTTAAGGAATGTCAGTGTTTGGGGCTTTGAATATGTAAATCGTGTATATTAATAACTGATCTATTTAAAGTTTGTGTCAAAATTTGACAAAATTTCAGGTTGTATAAAATTACAATTGTATATTATCTTTTAGCAGCACATTTCAGAGATAGGGACATATTGGCATGAACCAATCTGATCCATCTCCATGGAACCCAGAGTCACGTAGTGCCTTGAACTTGGAGCAGTTTTCTTTCAAGTGAGGTCAACTTTTCCAGAGACAATCATTGTGTAAAAGTTTTACAGGTTTTTACCTACACATCTAGCTTCTTGAAGTGGATTCTGGTTGATTCTGACCTCATGAAGCTCCCCTGCTCCTTTCCTTTTTAGGGTGTTTCCCTGTTTAAAAATATGTACACATTTTCTGTTAGTCTCCAATGCTGGGTTCCTGGCATGAAAAATAACCCTGTTACTTGAAAAGCAGTTTTCACTTACAAGTCCCCAAGGTCCCATACTATCTAAACCTCCTGTGCCACTTTATAGGGCCGCCCCACCCCACAGAAGAGCATATACAGGAAAAGCAGACTTTCCTTCCCCCCACGTTTCCTCAGTTTATTTACAAAACGTCTTGGAATGAGAATGGCTGCTTGTGGTTCCTGTGGCTGATTCAGGGATGATTTCCTACAGGCAGAGGATGCTGGTCAACTGAGTGACCTCTCTGTAACTAACCTATGCACGCCTCTGGTAAGGCTCTTTGGACTTATGGGTATCCCTTCTAAGTAATCCTGGAAAGCTTTGTTTTTGCAGTAAAGAATTTACCAAACATCACTGTGGAGTTAATGGGGAGGTGAAATTAATGGTGAGGCCTATCAGAATGTTACCTTTTGTTACCAACAGAAGAAGCCAGATATGTGCTGGGATGTCCTCACACTCTTGGTGACAAACTTTGCTTCCCAAAGGAACATGATTTTCCCTTCTGGCATCCTAAATGGACAATAAGGGATTATCATTATGTTTGAATAAAGAATGAATACATTAAGAGAGAAGATCATCCCAAACACTAGCTACATAGAAGATGCCCTTTAATTACCAGTTCCTGTCAGATTTAATGCATAGGTAATGGTTGTAACATTAAGTGGGGGAAGATCTCCAGTAAACATGAATTTCTCAAATGTTTGTTTACATTTGTTCATACTTCCTAATGAACACTCTTATCTCATGCATTGTGACCCATGGAAACTTGGAAATACATGTAGACGAGATCCTTAAGTTAGACTAACCAATACTTACCAAATATGCCTTTCACTTGAGTAAATAGAAAATGAGGGCACAGAAAGTATGACTTCTCTTCCAAAAGATAAAACACTGAACATAAATTACATTAGCACTCACATGTGATCCTTGTGGAAATATTGGCAAGATATAAAAACCACATTTTCACCATTATATCAATTTGAACAGATAATCATTAAACTCAAGTGAGAAGAAATATTTCATGAAAGCATGGGGAGATGGTGAGCAGCTAACACAGTTTCAGAATCAATTTTCTTTGGTTCAAAGTACAAAATTCTGTTCTTTAATAGGCCATAGTTGAAAATAGATATTCCACAATTTAGTGTCCTTGCTCAAGTTAAGATTTATTGTATGTCACATGCTGAAGAAATTAGAGACATGCTACTTACTTACTACAGAAACGAAAAACCAATCTAATGTATATCAGTTTCAATGCATGCATAAACAAGCGCAAAATTGTCAGGCCCCAATTTCCCAGTGTGCAGATTTAGTAAGGATATTATATATTTTTTTTCTATAAATCATTTGAACCAAATATATTCTTATTTTTTAAATTCACAAACTTTATGAACTTTGAAATTGAAGGCAGTATACATGTGAAAGAAAAACACCAGATCATAAAAAAGTCAGGGAAAAAAATCTCACCTCATTCACCTGTTATCACCAAATTGAAAGCTAATGAAAGAAATGAATGTACTGCTCAAAAATGTCATTTAACTTCCATATCTATGGTTTAACCTTTGTTTTTTTCTCTCTATATTTGTCTCCCCAGTGCATCCTAACGTCAGCCAAGGCTGCCAAGGAGGCTGTGCAACATGTTCAGATTACAATGGATGTTTGTCATGTAAGCCCAGACTATTTTTTGTTCTGGAAAGAATTGGCATGAAGCAGATAGGAGTGTGTCTGTCTTCATGTCCAAGTGGATATTATGGAACTCGATATCCAGATATAAATAAGTGTACAAGTAAGTGCCTACATAGCATTATATTTTTATCTCATCCTTGGGGAGTTTTTCAGAATGAAATAGCCTCTAATAGATCTGTAATAGTCAATGTTAAATAAATAATAATGTTTACTTAATAATTAGTCTAACCTATGTATAGACTTAGATATCACTGTAAGGGTAGGAAATTTTTCACCACTAGCTTACAAAAAAAATACTCATGTTTTGTTTTTTGGTTTGTAAAAGCTAAGACTGATAACACGATTATTATACACTGAATATATAGAAAAGTATTGCACGCATCAGTACCATCTGAGTTCCAATTCCATCACAAAATCTAAGTATTTAATAACTTGAAGAATTATTTTAGGTACTTTGGCTTCCAGTATAGCAACTGAAACATTTTTTTATCAGTTGAAAACAAAGGTTGGAAGCACTCTCATCTGAACCCCCAGAGTCTGCTCACCACATAGAAGACCAAGTAACCTTTTAAAGATGTAAATGTGGAAATGTCACTGCTCTATCTGAATATCACACATAGCTCTGCTTATCGCTCCAAACCCAGTGGCAATGACTCCCTCTCCACCATTTTTCACTAGCCTTACTGACCTCCTAAAAAGATCTTCCCACTTCAAGCCTTTGCAATTACTGCTCTATACTGGAGCTTCTGTCAGTTTGTAAGCCTTTTGCCCACACCTTTGCCTGGCTAGCTTTCTCATTTCATTTATTCAAGATTTTGCTCAATTTTTATTTTCTCAGAGAGAAAATATGTGCATACAATATTTGAGACATTTCTCCCCTCTTCCCCCACCCCCTCCCTTACTCGTCCTTCACCATCTTATCCAAAATAATCAATCTCTTCCCTTTATCAGTTATTCTCATCTCTTTTTCTACCTTTTTCTGTTAGTGTTGTTCCCATTGTTGTTTTCCAGAGAACTTGTCACTGTAAAATCAAACTGCCTTATTTCAAAAACCAACCTGCCCCTGTGGTTCATGGCTAGTTGCATAGCTTTTTGAGTCTCATTTACCTTATTTATAAAATGGAAAATATAATGGTGACTATCTTGTTTGATCATAGCAAAGTTTAAATAAGGGTAAACTTTATTATTGTTCACTATTATCCTCCTAGAATGAAAGCTCTGCCAAGTCTGGTTCTTTTTTTTATTCTCTTGTGCACTACTATTAACAAATACCTAGAATAATGCCTGACATATAGTGAACAATCAAATACTGTTGAATAGCTCTCAAGAATAATGTAATAATGATATCTCAGTACATTTTATTAAAGTTCTATTGAAACATCTTCACTGTTACTTAATACAAACAGATACTTGGTCTTATAACCATTCTTGGCTATATATTTTAGGATATTTTTACTGGTAGAGCATCACCCAAGCAAATATCCAAAATCTTAAACTTTCTGAGCAAGATTTCACGCTCAGAGAGATTCAGATTTCATAGCATTTTAGATTTCAGATGTGTCAAATAGGAATGCTCAAACTGTATTGCCAAAATTTTTTCTGTAAGGCAATCAGTTACCATAATTTTGAAATCAACAACTAATATCAACTAATTGTCCAAAAATTTTAATTCAGGTTAGCAAAATAACTTTTAACCCCAAGTGTTTGTTTGATACAAAAGTTGTATGTTTTTGAAAAACTGGTGCACTAATAGTTTAGAGAAAATAATGAAAGCATGTTATTTTTGTGTTTTTCTTTCAGAATGCAAAGCTGACTGTGATACCTGTTTCAACAAAAATTTCTGCACAAAGTGTAAAAGTGGATTCTACTTACACCTTGGAAAGTGCCTTGATAATTGCCCAGAGGGGTTGGAAGCTAATAACCACACCATGGAGTGCGTCAGTATTGGTGAGGAGGACTTCTGAGATTTAGAATGGATGAGAAATACCTCAGATGATACTGTCAGTCTCCATGGAGGTGCTTCTCAAAGTCCAATTTCACAAGAATCTGAGCAACTATCTCATTTTTTACAAAGACATTACCATAAAAGTGTTTCCATAGCCTTACCCAGCAAGTATCACAGTAAAATTTAACACCCAGTGAGTGCTCCTTTATTTCTTAGGGATTTCTGACAATTGTTTCAACTATTATGATCATTTTGTATCAATAACAGACTGAGTGTGTGTATATGAATGTGTGTATATCTAGGACTAACTTCCACCTTGGCACAAGAGTTTCAAAAATATCTAGGTCTAATCTAAACCTAACCAAAGTTATTTTCCAAGAGGAAGGTGGCCTTTTCTTTTGATATAGCACATTAATGCTGCAATGTTCTGCTTGCACAGGTATTCAGAAAAAAAGAAAGGAAGAGAGAATTTTGGACTCACTCAAACTGACAGAATGAGATGGTCTCAGTGTTTGATTAACTGCAGGCTGAGTTTTCTGGAGGAGAGGTCCCTCAGACAAGTTGTTTGTCTAAATAACAGATCACTGTCAGACTATATTTTCTCTCTTGTTAATGTTGTATGGCCACTAGAACTATGAGTTTGATGAACACTTGGGAAGCAGATGCTAAACCAAATTGGAAAACAGCATAAGAAAACTCAAAATCCCTTGGGCAATAACTGCAAGAACCTTTGATGCTGCCCTGATGCTGGCATGTGCACACACAAACCCTCCTGATTCAGTACAAGATAGTCTCCAGGACTGCCCCAGGGTCCCCACAGTACAGCTCCACTAGCATCTAAAGCTTTGGAGTAATAACTATAAAGTGGTGGCTTAACCATTTCAGGTCCACCACAAACTTTTATTTCTGAACATTTTTAGCAGAATGAAACAAACTGATGATATTTTTAAAGAATTTCAGAAAACAATAATCCTGAATCAGTTCATGACTCTTTTTGGTTGTCTTTTCTCTCATCATTAAAAACACAAAAGGAAAGTGTGAAAAGTTCATGAGAAACAGTTCATCTCTATAAGTCCTGAGGGCTGACGATTAGAAGTAGTAAGTTCCCAACAGTGAGAAAAAATAGTAAAAACTTCTGTGGAATATTCAGGCACAGTAATTCAGGGTAAATTACAGAAAGCTTGTAAGATTTCTTTACCAGGAAAAAAAGATGTAGTATTTGGTTTTTAAGGTTATTTATTAAATTTATTAATGATTTCTTATCAAAAAGCACTTAACACTTGGCACTGTTGGATTAGTCTTTGAAGCTAATTAGTTTTATACTATCAGTAAAATGACTATTTCTTAACACAAATTTTAAAAGTTTGTATATTTTAAAATAGGCACTAGAAGTCCAAAGATCATTTACCTAATTTGGCTCATTTAGCAAGTAAAAATGACCTAGAACTCATTATAGTACAAACCAGAAACTTTTGTTGAGAGTTGGCTCTTGTTGATTACTCCAAAAAGGATGTCACCTATAATATGGTATCTGACCTATAGGCACTATGCATGTAGGTTTACCCCCAAAAGCTCAGGAAATGATGACCTACTCCACTATACAAAGAATGGTACAGACTATTAATTTGACAAATACAAAAAACATGCACTCTTCAGCAGCACATGTATTAAAATTGGAATGATACAAAAAGATTAGCATGGCCCCTTACACAAGGATGACAAGCAAATTCATGAAGCATTCTATATTTTTTATGCTAAGGGGAGGTCACTACCAGGAGAGGGAAGGTAAAAGAAGGAAGATAAAAGAAGGAAGTTAAGAAAGCGAATATGTGTGAGGTAGTTTCTATATAAGAATGAACATAGAGTTTTTGAACCTGCTGAAATCACCATAGGAAGGAGACTAAGGGAAAAAAAGGAGAAAAATAAAGGGCATGAACAATTCAGGTTATGATACATGTGTACTTGAAAATGTCACAAGGAAACTCCCTGTAGAGTGATCTTAAACAAGCAAAAATGTTTTTCTTTCCCAAAAACAGAGCACCAGGAAGGTTAAATAGGTCCTGTCTGGGGGTTGGTACCAGTGGGAGGGCAGAGGGTATAAGGAAAGGGCAAAGGAGGCTGAATGTAGTGGAGCTATTATGTACTCATGTATGGAAATGGAAAAATGAGGCATGTTAAAACTTTCAGGAATGGAGGGAGAGGGGATAAAAGAGAATGATGGAGGAAGTGAATCCAACTATGATATATTGTAAGAATTTTTGTAAATGTCACAATGTACCCCCAGTACAACAAAAACAAAAAAATAAATAAACACAAAAAAGTTTAAAAACTGGGATCCAAAATCTGAAATGTTGACTCTAAGGACATATTTTGAGTTCTCAGTGCTATATCAGTGTCTTGGCTTTAGCTCCCCTCTGAACACTCAAAAGGATGTAGTTTCTTTTGCTAAGAACTACACCACATGTCTTATTTCCTACATTTTAAATTGAGTAGAAAGTTCATAAACAGAGAAAATACCATCTAGATCTAGAGCTAGTTGAAATATTTATGTCATAATTATGTTCCGTCTTCAGGGTTTACAGATCAAAGTAAGCATTAACGTTCACTGAACCTGCTTTTGCAGGAGGACATAGTCTTTCCACTTTGTGTACCAGATATTTCCTTCCTTTCTGCACTATCATTTCGAACTCTCATTGTTCCTCATTGCTTCTCTTACTCAAGTAGTCAGGGAGAGAAGAAATCTCTCTTCCAACACTGAGTAGCAAGAGACATGCTCTTGCTATGTTCTTTATGAAGAACCATAAAGTTTGTTAATAAGAATTAGAGAAACACAGTAATGGCATTACACAGCCATTACTGATAAAATATTCAGTTCAATTTTCCTCCCAATCCCAGAATCTCTTATACTGTGTCTCAGAGTCCTAATCAATTACACCATTACTAGGATCAGGGAGCTCATTAATTTTTGTGACCCTTGCTTCATTAGTGAACAAGTAAAGATTTCCAGTGTTAAGACTGTTCTTTAAAGTCAGGCACTGGTGGCTTATACCTGTAATCCTAGCTACTCAGAAGATCAGAAGGACCATGGCTCGAAGCCAGCCCAGCAAATAGCTCACAAGACCCTGTCTCAAAAAAAACCCTTCACAATATAGGGCTGGTGGAGTGCACTCCAGGTGTAGACCCTGAGTTCAGACCCCAGCACTGAAAAAAAAGATTGCTCTTCTTTAACAAGATAGAAGAACAGAAGTTGAGTGTCCTGTTTTTTCTTAACTATGTCTTAACTAAATAGCACCCCAGTTCATTTAATGTTGTGGATATAATATAAATCATTCTCTTAGCTGTCTTAATATTTTTCCAAAGTTTTCATTTTTCTGAAAATATTTTTTGTATTCTAACTTGATAATTTTATTCTACAATATCTCTGTAGATAAAATTTCCTTCTTGTATGGCTTTTGAACTATCTGATTTTATTAGAACATTTACTATCTAATCTTGTTAGTTTGAATGTATTCCCTCTTCCAGTGGAATTATCTCAAGTTGTCATTAGACTCTTGCTTTTGAACCACTCACCTTATGATTGTAGACCAATAGTTAACCTATGTTGTAATTTCAAATCTGGTTTGCTGAAGTCTAAGCTACATTTTGCTTTTGTCACACTTTCTATTATGAAAGAGAGCCAGTGTTTTGTTCACTTCCACATTAGGTAATCAATCTTTTTTTAGTTTAGACCTCTTGATTCTGGCATTAAGTGAATGCTGGACAAAGTGGAAGCTCACAAACTTTAAATTTTCTTTGTCCACTTGGTTTCTTGAGATGTTTTTATTTGTATGTATTAAAGTTTGCTGCCTTTAAATGCTTATTTTTGAGATGGAATGATGGGAGAGAGAAAATGTTTTTAACTGGAAAAAGATTATATTATTAAATGACATGGTTGCTCTATTCTTTAACCAAAATTATAATGATACAAGTGAGCATGAAAATTATTTTGAAAGTGTTTCAATAATCTCACTTAAGTTCACAGAAACAAACTCACTTATCCGATCACTTTTATTGAATTCTGTGTCACATTCATCTACCTAAAAGTGACCAAAAGGGCCTATGAAAAAGTATGGCAAATGGATTTCAGTTTACAAAACATTTAGGTTATCTTTCTTGAGGTTGTTATTAGAGATAGCATTCTGCTCTCAAATAAGAATTCATTGAATTAGAATACAGAAGAGATAACAGGAAAACTTGTTTTTGTGGAAACAGTCTTGTATCATCTGAAAAAGTTACTGCTGGATGTGGCTTCAGTGGTTGTAAAGTAGGACATTTTATGGTCATAATTATAACAATAGCACTTTTCATCAGTGGTTGGTGGTGCATGACTACTGTCACAGCCCTGAAAGACTGAGGCAGGAGGATCAGGAGTTTAAGTCCAGCCTGTGCTGTATAGCAAGACCTTGTCTCAAAAACACAGAAAGAAAAATAAGAAAGGAAGGAAGGAGCACTTTTCAGATGTTTCTTTTCATTCAAAGTGCAAAATGTGTTATAAAACCAGAGAAAACTATTATTGAAGGGACAACTACATGCAAAAAATGAAACAAATCTTCAAAAGAAGTTCAGAAATGGTACATCAATTCCTCTTAGGAATCACCCAGTCAAGTTAATTCTAGAAGCAGGTTATCAGTTGAAATTGATCCAGCTTTCACTTAGATGCTCCTATGCCTGAACCAGTGTCCAGTAGTAGATGACAATATTCAAGTGCTCAATAGCACTGAAAATAGGAAATGCAGTGATTGTAGGCCAAAGACCTGAATTCATTTTCTGCTTAACCATTCTCTAGCACAGAGGTTCTCAATGTGTATTGCCAGTATCTGCAAATCAGCCACATCTGTACTGTTAGAAAGGCAAATTCACAGCTCCACCCCAGACAACTGAATTAGAAACTCTAGGGATGGTATACAGCTTTCAAGGTTCTAGCAGCCTCCTGCATTAAATCTGACACATTCTAAACTTCAAGAATCAATTCTCTAGCAAATTATCCCAATGTCTCTCAAGCTGTGATACAGATCCATCAATAATTGTAGCAGTACTCTAGAAATTATAAAGCATTGGTGAATTGTGAGTAACTAAATTAGTACTTGGATTAATCAAACCTAGAGCAAAATGTAAATACAATACAAGTTTGAGTTCACCTGATGATATGAGCCCTAAAAAACTAGAAATATTCTATTTCTACCTTTCCCATTCTTTTTATTTTACATTTAAGTCATCTTGCCCAACTTTGATCTGTAGGATTCTGCTTCAGAGTTTGGGAAATTATTGATGGAAGTCAACCTTTTTTACTTATCTGTTGTGGCAGTGATTATAGACCAACTGAGTCTTTTTCTGCTGTTCTGTTTCAGTGCACTGTGAGGCCAGTGAATGGAGTCCTTGGAGTCCATGCACAAAGAAAGGAAAAACATGTGGCTTCAAAAAAGGGACTGAAACACGGGTCCGAGAAATAATACAGCATCCTTCAGCAAAGGGTAACCTGTGTCCTCCTACAAGTGAGACAAGAAAGTGTACAGTGCAAAGAAAGAAGTGTCAGAAGGGAGAACGAGGTACTTCATTCTAACAAAATGTGCTTGTTTGAATCCTCATAATTTGATGTACATTTCACTCTATTTCTTAAGGAATAATTGACAATATTACTAATGTATAAAACCCTAAAATGTGTACCAAAGAATATGTTCACTCTAAATTATACTATACAGACATAACTTTTTAAATGAATCCTGATATCAGAACTTTACACTATTATAGAACCATGCCAATTAAATTTTTATGTACAAGGCTATATAACAAGTATTTGGGGGACATTATTTTTCCTATAACTCACCTTTCTAGGCCCTAGGAAACTTTTGGGAAGTCTCCTAAACAAAAGGTCTAACATATTTGGTACAATACCATGACAAAGAGACACAATCATCAAATTTTTCCTGTCCTTATGGCCTACAAATCAATATAGTACAATTAGGTTGAAAACTTTTGTAGCTAAGTATATATTTTTAATACTGACTTTACATTAGAATTAAATGTCTAAGGCCATACTTTATGAGTATGATACAACCATTAATGACATTCTGTTCTTAGGATTCTTTTTGTCATATTACGCTAACTTTATATACTAGATTGTAGAACCTACTGGATCAATATGAACTGTGTTGGGACTTGTTCTGAAACTCTATGAATGCCGAGGAGGAATATGACATTCACTATGATTCCTGAGTGTACATAAACTTCTGTTTAGAAGAACTCCCATTGTTGATGTCTGCAATATCATTTCCCCCTCTTTCTCACTCATCCTTCAGCAACACTGCCTGAAAATATATTGGATAGCTTCAAATAACTTTTGGTATTTATCTTGTGAGCCTATAAGTGATTCTTTCAATTAATTGCCTCTTTAAAGGAGTTGGCTGCCTTTGGAGTTGAACATCTTCAGGTTATTTAATAAACTCATTCAACAGAGTTTTATTAAATTCTTTCTTTATGGCCACACATAATCTTAATCCCTTCGGATCCACAACTAAATAGAATACTCTCAGAGGGCACTCTAAGTATACTCAAAAGTCCAGCAGAAGGTTAGATGCTTAAACAAATAACTGCAATATCATATAGAAAAGGAGTTTATAGATATGCAAACCAAATTTAATAGGAACACAGAGGAGGATTCTTTCCAAACATGAGTATTGTTCATACAAAAACAATTTTGGTCACCTGCGCTTTGCAAAGTATTTTTCATTGTAATAAAAAAATTGGCCATCATCAGATGTATGAGTCTTTTGCTGCTATTATAATCAATAGTTAATTTGGTGAAATTCTTGATGGCATGGGTTATTTTAAAGAGAATTTCAAGCTTTTGTAAATTTGTAAGAGGTTTTGATTATAATTTAGTTTCAGGAATGAAAGTTGGCTAGTGAAAATGGTCTTTCTGGCATTTGTTACCAATTAATTTAAAACATCTTACATTTTAAAAGTTGGAATTGAATGTCAAATATTTCGTCACTCTCCTTGTTGGTGTGCTCCAATAGCTGTACGTTTACTGATGTTTACTAAATTTTCTTGAAATTTAATGACTTACAGGTGGTCTCTGCTCATATCCTTCCCACAAAGATGTACAGTATTAATCAGTATTCAGTACACTGTGCTTTTAAATTTTAAATGAAGACAATCTTGTCAGTAGAAAAATTAAATTATACTAGTTACATTTTATTCTTTTTATTTGAGAATATAGTATTGTAATATATCTTTCTAGCACTTAAACATTAGCATTGGAAATATCAGTTTTTATAAGTAGCAATCAAAATATAAATAATGCCATAAAATGTTTGAAATAGTAACCTGTGACTAAAGATTGGCTTAAAAGTTTCTTTTTTGTCTCCCCTCTGGGGATACAGTACCATTTTACATTTACAAAGAAAACTTTATACAATTACAAAAATGAAGGTGTTTTATTCTTTTTCAAATTTGGTAATGCAAACACTAATAAGAAGTGTGTAGGTTACTTATAATTAAATTCCAGATCTGGTTTAGAAAGTTAAGGTAGGAAAAAAATTATTTCTCTCTTTGTTATTTCTCTAACCTAACAGTTTTCTTGACTTCACTTAAAGTTTATTTATTAAATATCCTATGTGAACACACAAAAAAAAGATAGATTAAATAATTATGATCCATAGAAATCCCTCTATATCAACTGTATCAAGCATCACACTAAACCATTACCCAGTTCCTCATTCAGGCTCTGATATAAATTTATGTAATACATAATATTTGATAAATTTAGTCAGTTTCTTGAATTTATAATCTAAATGGTTAGGACAAACATACTTTGAAGGAAGAATATCATCACACCAAATAAACTAGATGACTTTAATTTCTCTATATAATTTTCTATATAAGCTGATATTTCTTATTTTAATTGGGGTAAGCATTCAAAACCTTCAGGCAATTTAAAAGATAAACACTAGAGCACCTGCTTAGCAAGCATGAAGCCTTCAAACCCTAGTACAAAGAAAAAAAAAAGATTAAAAGGTAAACACAAAAAAGTGGTGAAGACACTTTTAAAGATAAGATATCTCTTATCTTTAAAATACTTATTATTTGAATTGCTCCTAAATGCTCATAGGTTCATAAAATAAGATTACTTTATTTCATAGCTTGTACATTTAATGACAAGTGAACTAAAAGAAAGGTTTCTATTATAAAATTTAGCCTGCAAATCTTGAATTTAAACTTACATCTATGAATTTTGCCTAAGAGTTAACAATAGACAGAGGTAATAACTCATATTTAGATAGCATGTGTTCAGGATTTTTTCTGCTATGTTCTAATTGCCAAAGGCAAGGTATCAAGGGAAAAATGATAAGATCCAGAAATAACTTTCCAATATGTACACAAAGTAGTTGAATTGAAGGAAATAATTCCTAGTAACAGAATGGATTATTCCAGTCATAGGATGCTTTTTTTACTCCTTGTGTTGAAAAGATGGATTGCAAAATCTTGTACACACATTTTTCTTTGCTACCAACTATTCCTATGCTTAGAATGGCTATAAAAAATGAATCTGAGGCTGTGTAGTGGCTCGAACTAAGCTAATCCTGAATACTTGAAAGAAAGAGATCAGGAATATCATGGTTTGAGGCCATCCAGGGCAAAAAGTTCACAAGACCCTATCTCAACCACAGCGGAATGCAATGGTGCAAGTGTCTCTCTCAGCTACTCGGGAAAACACAAATAGGAAGACTATACACCAGGAATAAAGTGAAACCCTATCTCAAAAATAGCTAACACAAAAAGGGCTGGCTGAATGGCTCAAGTGGTAGAGCACTTGCCTAGCAAGTGCACAGCCCTGCCCTCAATCCCCAGCATTGCAAAAAAAAAAAAAAGATTTTGGTAGTCCCAAATCCAAAATTTTATCTAATGCACTATTACTTTGCACCATTTAAGATTATCTCCCTTTGCCTAGCATGCTACTTTTTTATCATCCTTAACTAATTATACCTTAATTACTAGCTTTAGTAAAAAAGTTTTACCATCACAATTTTTTCTGGCATTAAGTTATCTCAACTGAATTCTACATTTGCAGTATCAAAAACATACAAGAAGCCTGGCATGGTGGCTCACACCTGTAATCCTAGGCAGAGATCAGGAGTATCTTGGTTCAAAGCCAGTCAGGGTAAAAGTCAACAAGACCCAATTACAACAAAATAAGTTGGACATGGTGGTTTGTACCTATAATCTCAGCTATGTAGGAGTGTGGGAGGCATATGTAAGAGGATTGCCATCCAAGGCTAGCCCCAGGCAAAAATGAGAAACCTTACCTGAAAAATAAATGAAGCAAAAAAGGCTCGGGGCATGAATCAAGTGGTAGAGTGCTTGCTTAGCAAGTATGATGTCCTGAGTTCCAACTCCCAGTACCACGTCACAATATATATCTTAAGAGATTATACAGTCTAATGTATAGACTAGTGCCATGTAGGCATTAAAACAACATATAGAAGTAAACAAGGAGAAAGTATACTTTCAATAGTTGCCAGTTTATAATGACCCTTTTGGTATACTAGATGTAACTATCTCAAATATGGAGAAATGGAACAGGATGGGGAGATATGTTTGTGTGCCTGTGTTTGATATAAAACTATATCCATGTGTGGGGTGGTAGTGTAAGAAGAGTCAATATGCTTCTCATTTATTTGCACATCCCCTAACTTATGGTATAGATTGTTTTTAGGACAATTCACAAAGTGAGAGAAATTTCATTCTTTGGTTAATTAATGAGCAAGATTCTCATTAATTATAGGAAGAGTATGATCTTAGAAAGAAGAAAGAGCCATGGAAAAATTGGAATGGGGGGTAGTCTATCTCTTGGTATAGAGATGAGGTATCCATTCCATCTGAGAAACAAAAAAGAATCAGTTAAAATACAAAGAGGTTAAAAAGTCCAAGAACGCTCCAGGTAGGAATTGTTGTATTATTGCATTATTTTAATATACTGTATGTTGCCCTTATGAACGTTCTCAAAATGACGTATACTAAGAGTCTACTAGACATTACATAAAGGAAAAGTCTTATATACCTTAAAAGTTATTATTATTAATTATGCTACTTCCAATACTGTAAAAATACATTATGTTTTTATGATTATTACATTTAAAATTACAGCAAGATCAGTTTTTTCAAAACCAACCAAAAAAAAAGTTCCTAAATTTGTTCCTTTATCCTTTAGTTTACTTCTTTACTCTCTACTCTAATGACTTATAGTTGAGTTTCCTGTAGGAAAGACTTGTATTAAATAGTAATTCAGTTCAAAACAAGATATTTAGCCAAGATTTCTAGAATAATTCATCAAAAGCCAAAGAGATGGATTTATTAACTCAAAATTGTAGGACACCAACTGATTTTGAGTATTTAGATTATGCTCTCTCCCCATTTTCACCTCATAAATGAAAAGACACTCATCCTGTTTAAGCACTGACCAACATGAGCTTTCTGCTCTTTCCCTACACTGTAAGTAGACTAAGTCCTTGCTATCAGTCAGAAAAAAAGGCAACAAAATATAGAG